TTTCTTTCTTTCTTTCTTTCTTTCTTTCTTTCTTTCTTTCTTTCTTCCTTCCTTCCTTCCTTCCTTCCTTCCTTCCTTTCTTTCTTTCTTTCTTTTTCTTTCTTTCTTTCTGAGACAGGGTCTCACTTTGTAATGCAGGCTGGCCTTGAACTCACTGGGATGCTCCTGCCTCAGCCTCCTGAGTGCTGAGATTACAGGCCTGGACCACCACACCAGGCTCAGGCTCTGTTTCTATAAAACAGTGACTATAGACTGGCAGTCATCTTCCAAAGCTGATTTTGCAGAGCCTGCCATGTTATTAGGTGACTTTCTCTTTGGGGAGGACTGTTCTGGGTACTTTATATTTGAGGGAAAAAATATTATCATCCTCTTTTGACAGCTTCTACAGAAACTGAGGCTTGGGAAGGGCAACCTCTTGGCTTGGTCACTAGGTGAGGATGTGACTGATTCAGGTTCAGGCCTAGATCTGCCCCCTCCTGAGATGGTTCATCAGTATGAGCCTCTGTGCCAGGGGCCCCTCACTGTGGTCTTCAGCTCTGCACACCTGAGAAGGTGGTGGAAAGGAGCTAGGAGCTGGGTATGATGGTGCCCACTTGTAATCCCAGCACCCTGGGAGGCTGAGGCAGGAGGATTGAAAATTTGACCCCAGCTTAAGCAATGCAGCAACTTAGTGAAACATTGTCTCAAATTAAAAATTTTCAGAAGGGCTGAGGATGCAGGTCAGCAGAAAGGCCCTGGGTTCAATCCCCAGTATTGCAAAAATAAAATAAATACATCAGAGGGACACGGGGGCGGGGGGGGGCATTAGGAGGTCACTTAGCCCCTGGGGGCAGGGCTTGATAGGGGGGTCAAGGCTGGAGACAGAGATGCAGGAGCTTAGTTCATGGGAGGGAGTGAAGACAGACCAGCCATGAGCATGAGGTGAAAGGTGCTTATATTTTTTTATATCACAGGAAGATTTTGGTTTTGAGTAACAAAACCTTGACTGGTACTGGCTGAAATAAGACAATTATTATACTGTACATCAACAAAGAGGGGGAGAGCTCTGGGAATGATTCTGTCCACAGCGATGGCAGGGTCTTGTGGTCTCATTTCCCACTATCTCTGCTCTGTCACCCTCAGCTGAAGGCTCGGCTCCCACAAGTGCTCCCCTCATGGTCCCAAATGGCTGCCACAGATCCAGGCATCACGACCAGACCTGGTAATGTCTCATGCAAGCAGCCACCATTGAAACCAGTGTCTTGGTTCCAGAAAGAAGAGCTTACGAAGGAGGCAGAAAAGGAGTGCTGGACCCAGAGGAGTAAGAATACCAGGAAGAAAAAAAAAAAAAAAAAAAGAATACCAGGAAGGTGGCGAGTATTAGTAACAGAAGTGAGACTTTGAAGGAGGGAGAATCAATGCTGTCAATCTATGCTAAAAAAGTGATGTAAGACTGTTCTAATGATGGCAATAGGAAATCCTTACATAGGGTGCACTCTGCACCAGGTACTGTTCTAAGCACCATGTACATTTCACCCTCTCAGCAATCCTGTGAATTATGTACATGCTTCACATTTTACAGGTGAGGAAAGGGGCCCAGAGAGGGTAAGTAACCTGCCCAAAGTCACACAGAAAGTGTAAAATTGGGATTTGAACAGGTTTTATTTAGTACCTTTTTCCACAGGAGTTCAGAATACCCAGTGTCAACTTCTCTCTCAGCCTCTCAGGCTTCCTGCTTCTTACCAAGGTGATAGTTGACTTCACTGCCAGTCACCATGGGGTGAGGAGGCAGTTGCTTCTCATCTTTGGTTTTTTTTTTTCTTTGAGACAGGGACTTGCTATGTAATTCAGACTGGGCTTGAACTCACTATATAGCCCAGTCTGGCCTCACTCCAGTGATCCTCCTGCCTCAGCCTCCTGAGTGCTGGGATTGCAGCCATCTGCCGCTACAGCCTGGCTTGTTTGTCATCTTCTTATGGGAGGTGCCTGTGTGCTCTGGCTTCCACCCCTGGCTGGGGCTTCTTCCAAATTCCTCTCCAGAAAGAGCACTGAAATTGAGGTCCTGTTCAGTTCAAGACATTAAGCAATAAAAAAGGGTGTGGTAAAAATTTCGGAGAGAACTGGGGGTTCCCAGAGTGTGCAGGGTGGTCACTCTGTCCCCGTGTGGACTCTTCTGTCCCCTCCCCGCTATGCTCAGTGCAGGCCCCAGCAATATGCACACACGCAACAGCAATTCCTAGCACGGGAGTTCTGGTGATTGCAGGCTCCAGAGGCAAAGATCCTGGTTCCAAGTCTGAACTCTGTCATGCCCAGGCTGCGTGGGTTCAGGTGAGCAATTTCCCCTCGCTGTGCCTCAGTCTGCTCACCTGGAAAATGGGCTGCAAATGCACTAACTCACGGATTCGAACAATCAGCAACCTAATACCTGTAAAGCCATGAGAACAGCACCTGGGACCCAGTCAAATGCTGCCCAATTTTTCTTCTCATTTCTGCACTCTGCTTCTTTATACTTTAGATGAAATAAAATATTAATATTTTGATAATATGTTCTATTATCCTCATTTCTGCACCTTCCTTTTTTTTTAACCATAGTGTGTTTCAGAGATCATGCCCAAGACACACAGTAGGTCCTCTTTGTACCTGCAATGGCTCCTTAGGACACAGGCCCCAAAGATCCGTTTCAGCACCCTGCTGATAGGTGTGGGGGTGCTTTGTCTTTCACTGGAAAAACAGTGGTGCACTAGACACCTTGTATCTCAAGATCTAACAAAGCACCCCTGGCCCTCAGGGGGTCTGGCTCTATCCTCATGGAGCTCCTGACCCAGTGAGGGAGAAAGACCTGACTCTAGCCGGGTGTGGGTGCACACGCCTGTAATACCAGCACTGGGGAGGCTGAGACAGGAGGGTTGCTGCAGTATAAGGCCTGCTTGAGTCATATAGAAAGACCCTGTCTCAAAAAAACAAACAGGCAGAAGATTTAGCTCAGTGGTTTTACTGCCTGCTTCGAAAGCGTAAGGACCCGAGTTCAATCCCCTATACCAAAACAAAAAACAAAATCCAAAAAACCCTCCACAATGACCTGTCTAGCTAGTCATGGCCTAGAGTGATCAAAGGGTGGGATGCCTGCCTGGGGGGTGCAGCTCAGTGGTAGAGCAGTTTCCTGGTGTGCAGGCAACCCTGGACTGGATCCCCAGCAGTGTAAAAAAAAAAAAAGAGCCTGAGGGAAGGGAAGGAGGCAGCATGGTGACAAGGTGGTAAAGCACGTTCCAGTGTGTGCACAGGTGTGGAGAGGAGACGGTGCCTGACCAAGGATAGAGACCTGAGCGACAGGGATGAGGTTGCATAGGCTCTGGGGACTCTGAGGAATCTGGGTTTTTTCTTCTTTTGGTACTGGGGATTGAACGCGGGACCTTTCGCTTTTGAGGCAGGCAGCAGCACCACTGAGCTAAACCCCCGGCCCACTCTGAGGAATCTGGACATTTTCCTGAGGTCTGGGCACACATGTTGGTCCCAGAGCTCGTCCCTCAAGGCGTGGGCTCCAGGCCATCAGGATCCCCATTCCCCGTGAACTTGCGAAGATACAGATTCTTGGCCTCACCCCAGATCTACTTGATCAAACACTCTGGGGGGTAGAGCCCACCAGCCTCTTTGAAGTAGTCCTTTTGCTGAGTCTCGTGTGAACTTGAGTTTGAAAAGCACTGGTTTAAAGTCATTTTGCATTTCATCAAAAAGTCACAGCCTGAGTCTTGTCAAGAGGAACAATTACAACAAATATTTTTTTTATTTTTTTGTTACCAGGGATCGAACTCAGGACCTTGTGCTTGGGAGGCAGGCGGCGGAACCACAGAACTAAATCCCTGACAAATTTATTTTTAAAAATTTGTTTATTTAGGGCCGGGGATTTAGCTCAGTGGTTCCAGCGCCTGCCTCAAAAGGGCAAGGTCCCAGGTTCCATCCCCGGTACCGGGGAAAAAAAAAATTGTTTATTTATTCTTTATTTTTTTGAGGCAGAGTCTCACTATATAGTTCAGGCTGGCCCCCAACTCACAACAATCCTCCTGCCTCAGCCTCCTGAGTGCTTGGATTACTGGGGTACACCACCATACCTGGCTACAAAAAATTGAGATTGAAGGTCTTACTTGGCTTTTTTTTATTATTTGTGATTTTAGAACTGGTCCTGTACCGGGCTTGTTTCACCTGCTGTGCAGTAGTACAATCACAGAAATTAAAGATAGTTTATTCACAAGGGAGCAAGTATGGAGACAGACAAGTCTTAAATCTGCCCCCAAGGACAGGGTTTAGGGATATGTATAGCATAAAGGAACAGGCTGATTTAAGGTGAGGGGAATGACTGGAGGTAAAACCATCGGTGGTCTGCACATCTGTAACCAACTTTTATAGTTCTTACTTAGGCACACATCAGGTGTCCAGAAAATGGCAGTCCGATCTGAGGGCAGAGTGTCCCTCCTCCTGAAATCAGAGAAGTCACCTATCTGATGCTTGCACAGGCCCAAGTGAAGGGTCCTAGTTTTCAATAAAGTTTTCCTTCAAGTCCCTGAAAAGTAACCCAGGCAGCTATTATCATCAAAACCAGAGGTCAGAGGTGTTAACTAACAGTGGGAGACTAATAACATTGCTCAGCCTTGGGGGCCTCCAAAATTAGTGATTTTTTAAAACCAAGTCACAAGTAACAGCAAGTAACTAAAAGCAAGTGAAAGCAGAGGGTTTATTCAGGTTTCCCCCAGTTTCAAAATCAGGCAGTATTTCATTCAAAGAAAATGAGCATGCCCATGAGCTGAACAGAGGACACTGGTTTTACAGATAGAGAAGATTGAGGAAAGAAACACAGAACAAAAGC